TACGACAGCCTTTTGCCTTCCAGACATGGGTTGTTTGTTTCAGCTTACGCAGACCCCAAACCAGGATAGCTTTGCCAAGAGATGCGGAAAGTTCTTCTCATGTTGCAACACATGCCAAAAACACAGTATCTCCGCAGCTAATTCCTTAAATCAATGAGGATCGAGAGCTGCATCACTTGAAGATTGCCTTGCCAGACAGGCTGAAGGCTATTTAGCATGTTGAGCAGCCCACATGAGAGCTGTTTAATCACAAGTTGTTTTGTAGCTTGCTCTCGAAGACCATGAGATTGTTCAGCGACACATGTCTCATTCCAAGCTGCACGTCAACGGGCAAGTTCTGACAGTGATGAAGCAACCAAAGTGTGCCATTCCTGACCGAAAGACCCTGGAAACCATCCAGCATCGTCTTCGGACCAGAAGATTTATTTATTGTAGCAGTCACAGGCATTTTGAGAAGACAAGCGCTAATGCTCCATTTCCGATGTCCCACCATTTCGTGATTGGTCAGGAAGGTTCTGCTTGGCTGACGAAAGACTTGTCCTCACACTGAACAGACGTGAATAGTGTGAACGACACCTGTCTTGTGATTGGCTTGTTTGTACTTTCTTCAACGATGCAATGTCCTTCGTCAGCGAAACTGGGACCAACATAAGGCGCAATTCGTTGCATGCGACCTGCCCCATGTCCTCACCGTGGAGTCAATGGCGTTGGCATCTGACGCAGATGGAGGCCATCGCTGTCAGGTTGGAGGCGATTGCTACTAGAAACCAAGAAAAAAGGGAGAAAGAAAGGTCAAATATAGTTTGCTATGCGGTTTTGTTGCATCGATCGAGCCTCACGAATTCATGTGTGTCAGGCCTCGACCGATGCGGATCGTGGCTTCACATGCTTCATCTGCAACATGAATCACATTCTTCATTTCTGGCTGGGGCTCCAAACTAAAACTAATCTGCCAAACACGTGCGATCCATGCTTTGGCAGAAGCACTAAGAGATGCATTTCTTCATTGTGGCTGTAGAGCATCATGGCCTGCAATTCTGAGCAGGAATGGTGGTACCTGTTTATCACGCTGGTTTGCCAATGTCATTTGCTTGGGGATTTTGGGTGGATGTGACTTTGCTGGTCAAGGCTGCAAAGAAGCTTACAACAACTTTGAGTGATGCAATGCCCTTCTTGTTTCAAGCCAGCAGCACTTTGCATTGAATGCCATTCTGCCAGAACTGCTGGAAAGGCATGCAGCCTCAGGCATTGGGGCAAGGTTTTGGGCTACTTGTCAGTCATTACGCATCCACTGCTTGGTGTTTTTTGTTGAGTTCCTTTAACGTTAAATCAAATAGTTATATACATGACACGAATGATGGATTCCAAAAGGCTCCTTGATGAACCGTTGCAGTCGCATGATATGCTGCAAGCATAGCTGCAGATCGAAATGCTCAGCTATCTCAGCGCCAAATTTCAGACACAGGTGAGTTCCTGTTGTCAAGAAGGTGGCTCGATCTCCCAAA